ATGTTGTAATTAGAAAAAAATTCTATTAAGCCAAGGGGTATCAGTCTGTTGAGTGCTGATAACAGGCATTTGGAAGAAAGTGAGCGGCACTGTTGAAAATATCCAATAACATCAGAAATGTATTCCATGTTTCGTAATCTACCAATGGCATAGAAATAAAGCATAGCTTCTCTCTTGTTAATTTCAATATAAATACAACCGTTTATGAAGAGATGCAGAATACCCATGACTTTGGCGCCCACACCTACCTACCTACTTATAACTGCTCTCTTTCTGTGTACATGCAAATCATCGGGTAAGTCATTTCTCTATCCATTATCTGCCTTGACCATTATGTACACTGGTGAAATGTAACTAGACATCAACATTTGTCAAACCTTCGATTTATTACCATTATCTTCATTGCAATAACTAACTGAATCATATGAAGGTAGAAATATTTATGGCTGAAGCAATTACACAATCCATCACACGCAATATGCACATCTTAGATGCATTCATCAGAATATTTACTATGTACGCTTCGTCTTCTCTTCTTCTTAATTACATATTCACGTCTCACAGAGATGGGTCGATAGCCCTTTAAAGTATTTCTCAATATCACAACGGCGGAAATGAGATTGTTTTCCCTTCAATCAAATTTACTCTATTCTCTACTTTAAGATGTCGAATTCCTAAGGAATCAAAAGGTTGAGGTGGAAGAAATAATCAAGTATTATGAAGGCAAGTTTCACTACACTTTACATCAACGCTTCTTTCTGTCATTTGAATTTTTGTTTAAGGTGTTGGTTTGTAGGGATTTAAATGGTTAAGGTATTTCATCATGAGCTGATATTAGTTAGAGAACCATTGGAAAACCTGGGAGTACTCTACAGCTGTTTCGTCTTAGTCTGGGACTCTGGCGAAGTACGCACCAACCGGGGTTTGACCACAGGACCTTCTGGTTACAAGGCGAGCTCGTAGACCATAGCACGACGACTAGTCAATATCTTCGGCGTGTATTTGTCCTCACACCCGACCTGCTGCACCCTACTTGTCTCGGTTTCTCACAAGAACCCCGGGTTACTACCTGCGTGAATAGGGCAAGTCGCCAGTAAGCATCTCATCGATATTTAACTGTTTGTTTGTAGAGATTTGTCTGTTTGTTTGTTGGTTTTCAGCATTATTTCTACACTACATTCCACAGATGGAATGTATTAAAGACGGTATATCCCATTGAGTTCAGGTTTACATAAGGATGCACTGAAACCATTGAGAAATAGTTCTATACGGTAAGATTTCTGAGGACTTTCCACATGTTAAGGATTTTGAGAACAATCGAAAGAAATGAAGATAGATCGAACGTACTGTGAGAAGACTATAGAGTGATATCATGCACTATGCAGACCGTCAAGTAGAACTCGAATTGTAAATGAGTAGTTAGTGGATTCGGTGAGGAGGTGATCAGAACTCATTGGGAATCATGCAGGCACTTTGAGAGGGCTTCAGAAATTATGATGAAATGCATATCTCTTGCTGAAGCTATATGAATCACTCGGAACCCAAAGGGGTACTGTTTATTCCTTACTGAGTGATTGTTGAGAGCCACAGTAAGGAATTCATTCCTCATTGGAATTATCAGTTAGTATAATATTTTACTAATGTTCATCAGGCTGATGAGGTCCGAAATCCTCATTTTTCTTAGCTTGAATTCATGTGTGTCAAGGACCAGCACATTTTGTTTGAAAGAAAAACACAATTATCGTTGCAACGCGTTACAGACAGGTAGATAATCATCAGTTATGCTCAACCCAAGAAAGACTTCAGCCAGTACCGACTCCTCTACTAGGTAAACGATGGAAGAAGTAAATCTTTGGAATATACACTGACAAGAAATTGTTTAGTTTATTGAGAATTTCATTTTTCCCAAATTCATTTTCCACTTCAAACCGTCTTATAGATAAAATTCGTGAAAATGAAGATAAATGTAGTCACTACAAACCAGATACAAATGCACAAGGTGAAATGAACACGTCTTAATGTACCTCTTCCAATAAAAATGTACTCACTTCCAAATTATAAATTCTTGATTGAGTGACGAAATGAAAACCAAGCTGTCAACAGTGTCAGGAATTCATTGCTAGGTTCTAGGATAACAGTTGAATTTACTAGTGTAAGAGTTACCCTCCCATTTTATTCATTTGCATAGCAGGCTGGATTTCAGTCGATGGCTAAAGCAACTTCAATTGTCTTCTGGTGGTTATCCCACTGAGACACTTTATCGCTTGAAACGATGAATAGAATCTTCGGTCATAGGTGGGAACATCATCGTGCTGACTAGTTCTTAATAGAACGAAATTCACATTCAACCAAATCTGCATTACAAATGTACTAGCTTGTTTGTGAATTTCGAAAGCCACTGAAATTTATCTCGATTATTGTATTTCTTCCACTGGACTACTATTGAAACACTTGTGTATATGTACTTAACTAATTTCTTCAGAGAATATTTTTCGCGAAGTTTCGTTTCATGATTTATTCGGTGAAAATGACTGTGATATTGAATGTGATTATGAAGCTGTTCAGTTCACTTTTTGAATATGTCTCTGGTTATACATACATATAACTAATTCTCACCTGCATTTCTCCACTTCAGTACAATTAGTAAGAAAGATAATAAAGAACAGAAGGCGTTTCAAGAGATGTAAGTCAATTGACATACTTTCTAAGTAGAATCAATCATCTTTTCAGTTATGAAATGCCAGCAAATTTATTCTGCTTCCCACATCGCACTAGAAGTTTTCAAAGGTCTGTGCAGTTTGAATATATTTTGTTTACTGATATCGAAAATAATTCATCAGAATTTGTCCTAGAATAAATGAATTCCTGTATAGACTATTCTCAGCCACTGCTGTTGTTTTGGCTAGCTCACGAAGACGACGGATCTAGGTGAACATTTTACAAGTTTCGCTAGTTGTCACACATACGCACTATGAGTAAGAACCAGCAGTCAGTTATGAATCTAACCAAGTACAGAGAGTCGCTGTTCACTTTCAGATGAGTCTCGTGATAGCAGTTCACATATGGCTTTAATTTGTGTAGGTTGAATTTGGAAAGAGAATATTCCTGCATTGGATATCGGCGATTAGTGAATTAATTTTAGTTTTGAATGATTGATTCTGCAACCACCTATTCCGAGATTATCATGTTAGTTTCTTTTGTCTCTATTTATTCATTTTGTCCGCTCTTTTTATTATCCTTATCAAGTTAACATGTATATTCTTAATTCTTCACATATCAAATCTCATAGATTATTTAAGAAGCATGAAAGTATTGAGAGCAAAATACGGTATGATCTCTTTTACACATATTGACTATCTCAGTATTCCAGAGAATATTTTAACTCCAGTTTGAAGGGATAGTGATCACACTCCCTTTCAAACGCATATTCATAGAGTTGTCATTTAGCCGATAAATTCAATAGATTGTTCGTCCCTATTTATTTCGAAGTCAGTTGAAGATTTTTACTTTAGTTGAACGCTTAGTAGTCACCGGCATCATGTAACTACTCCTTCGTCTAGTGCAGACTGAATTTTGTCAGTGAAGTTTGCAATGTAACCACTACGCTGAGTGACTCAGCATCATGGCGCACTGTGAACTGTATTTATAAGATTGTTGGAGGTTCCACACTTGTTGACACTCGTCGTTACTACCTTGTGTCGAATACAGTCATGCAATAAATGTATCACGAGCCCAAATAGCTTACTGATAATGTCTCTGACTTCACAACTGGTTGACTCAGTTTCCATTCTCAGAGAGACATGAGTTCCATCAAGATTCCAGATACGTCATGCACGCTGTTGTGTGCCAGCAGGACGTGATGCTTCAGGCTTATCGCCTGCAATCATCTAAAATCACGTCACTATTTTGTCTTGCTTTCAAATGAGATAATAAATTAATTGCGTCACTGATCATCTATCTTTCGGTACTTCAGTCCCATCAACAGTCACTACCAGGCAAATTAAATCAGGAAAGAAATAGGAATTTCATTGTATCACTGTGTCGAAATCGCTGAGTGAATACTAATGAAATCAACTGTAAAACCTTCATCAGACTTAGGTACTTCTCATTGTTTCTTAGAATTGTGTATAGAAATGCAATTCCACTCATTTTGACGTTTTCTTCAGGAAATTTTGCAGTGAATATTGGTGGTGAAATATCTGGGACCGAGCAGATCATCGATTCGTTTACAAGTATTTATGAAACTTCTTCATAATGAAATATGCTTTATCTGTCTGTCTGCATGTGTTCTGCATAACACTTTCTATTTAATATTATTACTATCGTTATTACTAGTTTTTTCAGTAATTGAAATGTTTGATCAGTTGGAGAACCATTAGAAAACCTGTGATAACTGGACAGAAGCTTTGAGATTCGTCAGTAGTATACACTCACTGGCGTTTCAAGGGAGAATCTTCTGTTGTGAAAGAAAGCTCGAGGATCATTCAGGCCCTCGGAAGTGGCTCATGAATTCTGACCTCCGTAACTCTCAATATATAGAGAAGTTGCCAGCTTATATTGTAGGCGAGTAAGAGATCGCTTAGGGAATATCAGTGATTTTGTTAACTCCACGCATTAGTCTTATGCCAACATCAGTTCGTTTTACTCTAATAATTTCGAGAACAATTAACCACCTACATCTACCTCTTAGTCGCGGCATGACCTAGTTAGTTGGACAGCTGAAAATACTGCCAATATTTCAGTGGTCAGTATTATTCAAGTATTTTTTTGTTCAATCTTCAACATTCAATAAATGCATTGAATTCCCAATTCTCCATTCAACACGTAAATATCCTATACAGAAGATAATGAGATTTTTTTTAAACATTTTCTGTCTTTTTTATTTCTTTGCATCATGGCGACAAAACATTTTAGGACGTGTGAAGGGTTAGTTCATGTGGCTAAATATTTATAAAATGAATGTGCATTAATGTGAAGATATATTTATATATTTCCGTCACTAGCTATGTACACATTTGTTTTTTTTATTCCTCGTGTACAATGAATAGATACGAGATTTGGTCCAAAAAATGAAGGTTGCACTTCCTATCTATCTCCAAGGCGAAGAAAAGGTAGCTCATTATCATTCTCTGTCATGTATATATCAGTGTAATGATATTAGTCATATTCATATTATTCACATAGTTTCATTGAGTAACCTCATTCATGAAAACAGACCTCTTTTAATTCTTATTCAATATTCACGTATAGATGCAAGTAAGTTAATGTTTACAGAGGACTGATAACTAAATTTGAGTAGACACTATAAATTAAGGTATAAATCAATTCATATACATATGTATATATGTATATATCACCATAGAGAACATTAAGAAACCACATAATTACATCATTACGATGTCTCTAGCTTTTGTCTACATACGAGTAAACACATTCACACTCACAGTCAATCTCGATGAAAATCCTTCAACCTGCTTTACATTTCAAATGTCCAACAGAAATCATACATATCTGCAGGATGTCAAGTATACTGGAAAATTCAAGGAAGCGAAGCTGACACTCGTCTGTTGTTATTCAACACTTCTAAACTCCCCCATCACATAGTTTCATTTCACCAATTCCGTTCGGCCTAATGTAAGTTTTTTTTGAATCTCCGTTCTCTTCCTTTCTCCAGGAGTTAAACGTTTAATTTATCTGATGTCTAAAAAAAATTCTGAACAAGCAGTCTACCTAAAAAATAACAGTGAGTATAGTGAATTTCCTGTTAACTTCAATGTATGGAATTCTTCAATTCATATTTTCAAATGCAAATGGAAAAGCTGAGTGGTGCGGCTTCCAGTTTTATAACCACCAGTTCACTTTGCCATCTGTTTACTTTCTCAGGTGTACTTTAATTTTAAACCTAATTGCGGTAACAACACTACTGTTCTTGTAATTCAGCTCTGAAATTACTTTTGGAAGGTATTCTGAAGGAAATACAGGTACGAACAGATTGCCATTATTACTCGCAATCAATTAAAATAAAATATGTATACTTATGTGCACCTGTTAACTTACGTCTGTACTCTAATCTACCCCTTGTCTCTTTGAAATAGACAAATGTATTTTTACCAGGGAATGAGAGACACTTCCACATTCATTCAGGAGATTATCCAAAACCAAATGCTGACACCTATGTTGACTACATTCCTTTAAGTGAATTTATATCAGAATAACACGTTTACTTTGCATTTTATCTTTCGCTTAGGAGCTTGAACTCTGGTCAACGTAAGTGAACTGGTTGTCGTGCAGCATGGAGTGTGCAGTAGTAATCGCTGTTCATTTTTATTTATTGAAACGTAAACAAGTACTTAGTTTTAGTATAATTTAATAGTAAATGATTTTATTTAGTTTATTCAGAGCTTCTTCTTCTTCAAACTAAGGATCACATGTATATCTAGAAAGTGGTCGAAATCGAATGAGCACACAAGTTAATATGTGGTCAGCGAATACAGTTTTTAATTAAACCTCTCCGAGAATCGTTTCTTAAAAAACATACAACCTTACAAATAAGCATAATAACCGTGAAATAGTCATTGTGATTAGCTAATAGACTTGAGTAATACTGGAAGTGAGCGAATCAGACAAAATGCGTCGAATTTTTGACATAATTAAAAGAAAAGCGGTTGTCGAGGAAAGGGTAGGAAATGTGATGTGTGTACATGTGTATAGACTGGTCAGTTTGTTCTTCATCGATCGATGACTTGATAGTAGCTGCACTCACATTTTATTGTTCCTGCAGTTTAGGATATCACTTCAGACTATTTAAGTGTCTCCCACACGGTAAGGGCGAGTGTGATGACTGTCACGGAGATTATTTTTACTGACAGACTCTCTTGGTTATGTCTACTGACCAACGACTATCAACTAGAGGGGACACAATGGAGCATTGGATAGTTTTCACCTGTGTTTTACGCAGTTTCAATGGGGTATGTTCTGCACAACGTTAACTAAGCTATTTGAATGGACACTGAGAAGGATTTCAAGTAAGTTTGGAAAGTTGCCAGACTTCGTCTTCAATGGTACTTGGAGTCTTTCGAGTACACATTCTGAGAGTCAAGATTTACAGTGCATTTTTCAGAAACATACATATTAAAAAGGGCAACATGTTTCGTGTAAGTGCGTCAGAAATGTACTGGATAACACCAAACTTTTACAATCATATCAAAACAAGCAGAAAAAGGGGGTACGGCCTAACTACACTTCAAGGTGGTATAAAGTGAGCATCTAATGCATTATAAGTGATCGAATAAAGCTGTGATTGTCGAGGACATACCGATAAACATGATTACGATCATTGCGTGCTATGTCTGACTGCAATGAATATGCTGTAACACATTCACGTCTTCACATTCTATAATGTGCTAAATGCTGTCTGCCACCAAATACCAACAAGGCTTTCTAGAATCAACAGTGTGCGTGGAAACTTGATCAAGTGAATTATAAGTGAAATAGAACTTCAAACACACAAAACAGCAACAACCCTGTGTGACTGCGTAAATTACATATTGAACAATGAAAAGCCAATATTCTGTGATGCAATGGCTAATATTCAGTAAGTATATGAACAACTGGTTTCTGTATAATGTGAGTATATTCATAAGATTTATAGGCGTTCAGTTTGATTTAATATAGAGCCAGAACACTATTTAACTAAAATAATAGATGGTGGACGGGATTAGAAAGATGAGGGGTGTTTAAGAGTGATAAGAGGATGGAACAAATAATTAAAAACGTGATTATAGAAAGAGAAAGTTATCAAAACAATGCAAGGTGGATCAAAGGTATTCCTCTGTGTACATTATTCAGGCTTCAATCATCGGATTGCTGCCTCTTCTGTATATATTACGGCAATCTGTCACCTATCGTTTATAGAGAGATTTCATGTATGCTGATGAAACATGCAACTGACATCACATACCAGGCCATCATGTGGAACCCGACTGGTAGCCGATAGTTTGAATGTTCAAAGATCTTAGAGAGGAGACCATGTGAAAATAAAAGATAAAATTGTTGGCAGAAATTTTGGCATTCGAAAGTGGTAACAGAGATTTGAATAAAGAAGGAGGTGAGCCTTTGAAGTCGTAATTTCCAGTAGGAATACGAGGACTGAATAATATGAGTACATATACTAAACTGATAAATTCATGATTCTAGTGGGTAATTAAATGAGGAAGTTCCATATAACTTGATTTATACATCAAATGGATACTTGTGCCAAAATGGATTTTGAACTACCATTAACCGGGTTTTTGTTTACAGAGTCAGACGTTGGTGTATTCACAACACAAAACATTCACCTATGAGTCAACACATATTTACGGATCTTGGAATTACTGAGGTCTGTAGTGACTTAGAAAATCATCAGTTGCAATAATTCTGCAATTTCTGAAATCCCTTCCTTTTGGTATAAGGTGTTACGCACGAGCTAGTGCAACCAACATTGGTCATAAACTGTGACCTATCAGTAAACATTCTGGGCGCCAGTCTGTGATGATTTTGAACACTGATGAGAGGCATTCACTCCACTGACCCTCTCAAAGTGGTGTGTTGAAATTCACTAAAGGACAGACTACAATGTTCACATGTACCTAATGATTCCACTAATCATAGTACTTATATGAAACAACACTGTTCTGATTTATACATGTGTTTGGCGTGTCATTCACACCAACTAATGCAAATAAAGTTTTCCATCATTCATCTCCTTCTAGAAGTGACTGCGTACAATGGAAATCAGTGTTTGGATGAGGTCTTCTGTTAAATTAACCCAAAATTCCTCACCTCAAAGCTTTGATATAGTTAAATCCTCTTTGCGAGTTATTGTAAGGTCGCTAAGTACTGAAGCTTACACGGGCTCCAAAACGGATCAGCATGGATTTGTCATTGTCTCTTTAGTCCTGAACAACGTTCAGAATGACTTCCTTCGATTTCCGGAACCTAGTCAAGATTTCTGGATAACAGACTGTGGTTCGTAGTAATCACTTTCAGCTGATTCGGGTCATGGTAAGCAGACACAAGCGTTTTGTTATGTAGTATTTTTTCTACTCCCACCAAGCAGGTTTGTAAGTAATCGCTCCCTCGTGATCGCGCTCAACTACTGACGCAATCTCCTAATTAATGTCACCAATACTTTGCCATGGTGACTTGAATTATATCGTGTGAGGAGGAGATGAAAAATACAGGCAATCATCTAGTCAGCTAAAGAGAACTACAGAGAACAAGAAGGAAATGAATACGTGTTATTGAGACTGTAGTATGTTCCACACTGAATAACAATGACTTTTTTGTAGTTGTGTTCTCTCAGCTGGATGGTTTAGTCTCACAGATGTCATTGTCTTTCTAGGAAGCATCCTCAGCGCAACTCCAATTTGAAGTGAGCTTAAATTATACTGCCTACTAATCCTTTCACGTAAGTTGGATTTGAATGAAACAGTATCGTGGAAATTTTAGCAAGAAATAATTGTCTCCTGCAAACAGTTGCATTACTCCATAATAACTATTAGTCTTAGGTATATGGATGGGTTGAAAACAAGAGATTAAAAGTTACCAGAACAACTGACTAGTAGATATGAGCAAGGAGATATCTATGGTTTGAAGGAGGGAAGGGTGAAAACAATTATGAAATTCAATTCACTAACTGATCAATACTCACTCAGCTCAAGAAAATGAAGATGAACTACCTCAAATTTAGTGTCTTCCATGTGTATTTGCCAGCCTAACTGCTTCAATTGAGCTAGTTACATTCGATATACGATCAGACAAGTTCAAAGGCGAATTTGTGAACACCCCCCATCTTGGTTTGACAAAGATCCTAATGAAACTATACTCAGCTGAGTACTGGCTCAATTCCTCAATAGGAGATATCAAGCCGACTATAACAAAGCCTTTGAAGTTATTTATCGTATATCAACCAACCGCTCGCTGCCAGCTCTACGAGTACGAACTTTACTTATAGCAGAGA